TATATCCCTTGATGATGAACGGAATGAGACTACTTGTGGAGAAAAAACAACCAATAGAAAAAGCTAGTGGAGCCTTCCCCCTCTTGGCTACTACACTTTCTATTTTTCCCGTTCCTCTCCAAAAAAAAAAAACCCTCTCCTTCTCCTTTATCCCTTCCTTATATAAGCACTGGACTCTTTTTTGAGTTCACGTAAAGCCTCCAGCTATATGAATACTCTTTACCTTTCTTCTTAGGAGATGTCATTTGCCTTTATTGTGTTTCAAATGTGAAAGACCTTCTTTACGTTTCCTATATGCAGCCTTTTTCTCTTAGTTTCCAAAATTAGCTTTATTTTGCCACATTCATCTAAATAGTCTTGCTTTGGTGTGGAAAAACAATATGCAAGAGGGCAGTATATAAGCCAACTTTTTATGAGCTCTCATTTTCATTATCTGCTCATTTGTTTTACTCTCCTCTCAATATCTCTAGGGTATGGGCATCATGAAGCATTGCTGTATTGTTGCTGATCATTGTCTTGGGGAGACAAACATTCACAAAAACATCTCAAAACCTCTGTTTGCACGTTGCTACAAGCCATTTGTTCTACCATTTTTGTATTTTTATATTATTACCCTTTTTGTGAATTTTTTTTTGTCACTCATGATATTCACAATTTCATTTTCATTTGCTATAGACTGTTGGTTCTATCATTTGACAATAGTGAATTTTTAGTACACAAGACAATATAAATTACAATAATAGTAATAATAATAATAATAATAATAAAATAATAACAATAATAATCATAATAACTAAAATTGAATGTTCAGAAAAATAAAATTATATTTACCATTATTATAAAATGTATATGATTAATTTTAGGATTGCATTGAAGATACTGATGGTTTAACAACCTGCCATGACTATCACACTTACAGATTTCAACTACAAGCAATGGAACTATCTCATACTAAAAGGTTTATACTTGAAATATTGAGTATGCATACTATAACATGTATATAAATATAAGTGACTAAAAACAACATTACAATTATATACAACATATGTACAGTCATCCAGTATGAAGACAATATAAAATCTTAAGTAACGGTCAACTATATAAAACTACCACATGGGGTAGCTCAAAACATCCAAAAGTACCTTCATCCACCATATAGCTTCCACTACTCACCTTTGTTGACCTATCTCTATCCTACTCTCATACAAAATATGACCATTGCATTCCATCCACATGGAAAACATGTAAGGGTAAGCTAGATATAAAAAAAACATACAAGTTTACCATGTTCATCAATATACATAGAGTTATAATCCTCATACACCATATTACATGCAATAAAATAAAATGATTTACCCATGTTCATCATACAAGTTCACCAAAACATCAACATATCATCCAGGCATCACATGCCTGGTGGAACATATCTCGCGCTTGATGTCGTTAAGGTAATGGTATCTCTACCTCATTCACACCCAACACCATCCAAACCATGCCCGACATGACTAAGTTAGAGACCCCTTGGGACCTCATGCCTCGCATGGCAAAACCCACACCCAACCTCATATAAGCTTATGCCTAACCCACGTCCAGCATTATCTCAATGGTGCCTAGTGTCATCCAGGCAAGAAGCCTCTATCTTGATGATGCTTGGCGCCACCCAACTAGGGCCCAAAGTCACCAAGTTAGAGACCCTCCTATGCTATCGTGCTTAGTGTCATTCAAAACACACCAAACACCATCCCAACCCAAGACGAGTCTCTCTCCTCATGCCTAAATGAACAAAATAGAGACCCCTGGTTAGAGCTATGCTTCATGCCACGAAGGCATGCCCGGCGTGACTATGATTTATGCATAATGTATATCTCGAAAATCACCCCCCAAGCTCCTAAAAACAGAAAATCCAAGACATGAAAAACATCTAACAATCCACACGTCATATAGGACTCAAAATCAAGCTAAAACAACACATGAAACCCCAAATCAAAGAAATCACCAATTCCACCCCCATGAACCCCATTACTCAAGTTCAACATAACCAATCCCAAATTCATGTTGTTTCAACACTTAAATGCATGCAATCCATAGTTCATTCAACTCAACCATTCGTTAAAACTCTTCCTAGCTTCCTTTACGTCAACTTTAAGCAACCAAGAACAAAGAAGGAAGGAGAAGATGAGTTTCCAAGCTCACAAGATGCACACCAACCCAACTCTCTAATTCTTTGCTCATGCTTCGAATCCACAACTCCTTAGCTATGAACCTCACAAACTAGAGGAATCTAGAAGAAAGAATAGAAGAAGAAAGCTACAGGTTAATTAGAGCTCCTTTCTCTAGAATTCTCTCTCTAATGTTTTGAAGAACAAGAGATTATGAAGTTTTGCTCAAAACCAAAAACCTTATATATACCTTTTCTTTTAAAGGTCAACTAGACCTCTTGTCATAAACCTTCACAACTCACCCAAATCACCTAGGTACAATGTTACACCTTTCATTTTGGTGTGCCTAACCTCCTAGGTCACCTCATCAGTAGTTTCATCCTATAACATTTTCACCAAGCTGATAGACTTGCCTTGAAGCTCATTCAACTTGTGATTAATCATAGCTATCAGTTTCTTCTCATAGGTCAAATTCTCTCTAACTTGCACCTCATTCATCTCCACCACATGACTTAAATCTCTGATGTACTTCCTCAATCATGTGGAACACATCGTGTAGGTTGGAAAGAAATGGAGGTAACGTCAAACGGTAAGCCACCGAACTTACATGACAAAATATCTGGTAAGGGCTAATAAATCAAGGTGTCAACTTCTTAGCTCTAACAACCCTTCCCACTCCAACATTGGATGTCACCTTCAAGAACACATGTTCTCCCTCCTCAAAATCCAATGGCTTCCTCTTCCTATGAACATATGACTTTTTCCTACTCTAGGCAATTCTCATCCTCTCTTGAATTTGTTTCACTTTATCAATAGTCTATAGAACCAACTATAGTCCTACTACCACTAAATTGCCCTCCTAGTACCAATATATTAGAGTTTTACACCTTCTACCATATAATTCCCCCAAAAGGCGTGATATCGATGCTTGCATGATAATTATTTTTGTTAGTAAACTCCACTAAAGGCAACACCTCCTCCCAACTACATAGATGATCAAGCACACATGTTCTCAACAAGTTTTCCAATGACTATATCATCCTATTTGATTGTCCATCCATCTATGGGTGATAAGCGAAACTCACACAATAGAAATAGAAATAAAAATTACTATTGTTGATTGGAAGTTCCCACACGATAAGGACATTTTTTCTTAGTATGACCTGGATTCTTACACATGGAACATTTTTTTCGGTTGAACAGTTTCTCTCATATTCATTTTTGTGCATATAAGTGAGGATTTTGGATGATAATCATTTTTATTTCTTTTCATGTCCAAATTGGGGCAAATTTGTGATTCAGAACATGTTGGCCAATATTGTTCATTTTGCAACTCTCCAAACAATCATTTGTACACATTGGAAATGTATTCCAATTTGTAAGCAAAATGTATGCAAGAAGTGTAATCATGGTGAGCACGTTTACAAGCAACAATGACATGTGAGCAAGACATGTGTAATTTTTTGAAATTTGCCACAATCGCACCACATTTCATCCAATTTGACTATGAATAGTCCAGTCGGTAGTCCCTTTCTTGGGTTGAGTATCTTTTAGACCAGGAAACACATCGCATCTTTCAAACTCAAGCACATGGTGAAAGCCTACCTTTGTTTATGCATCAACTAAAGCCTTGTTTAATATTTTTTAGTATACTTGACTAGATCTCAACTAAGTTGGGACTTCTCTCTCTCTTTTGATTGAATAAGTTATTACACCTTTGGTAAGTTGACAGAATCATCGCTCTAATTGGTAGATTTTTGGTTTTTCTAAGTATTAAGTTGATTGCCTCTGCTAGATTTTTGGTCATATACCTATCTTTAGATATCAAGTCGTCACAACTTATATTTTAAATTCAAAGGTTAAAAAGATATCACACCTAATTAACAATTCCTCCAATAAAATTTTTGATATAATGACTTCAAATATTTTTATTGACTATTGTCAGATTTGATGGCCTTAATTTTCTTTCCAAGTTAAAGCTTAACTTCAACTTTAAAAGATTTGAAAATGTCTAGGGATTGAGACTTCTCATGAATTAAAAATAGTTAGTCGTACCTTGACTAATCATCTATGAATGTAATGAAGTATTGTTGCCCATTCCAATATGTCGTAGGGAATGGTCCACAGATATATGTGTGAATTAATTCCAAAACGTCCTTAGCTCTTTCGACACCTAATTTTCTAGAATTTGTTTATTTACCTTTAATACATTCAACACAAACCTCAAAGTCTAACAAGTCTAAGGGTTCAAGAATCTCATCCGACAGAAGCCTTTAAATTCTCTGTTTAGAGATATGGCCTAAACACTTATACCATAAGGTGACTGAGTTCTCATTTATTTTACGCTTCGTACCACGAGAATCAATATGAAAAATTTCTTTATTAAAATTAACTACATCTAGTAAGTATAAATTATCAATTAAAGAACCAAAATCAAACCAACAACATTTGAATTTTGATAGAGACTAAATTTATTATTTTCAAATGAACAAGAAAAATCAAATTTGTCCAAACTTGAAATATAAATTAAATTCTGCCTAAAGGACAGTACAAAAAAGTCTCAAATAAATCCAAATAAAATCCAGTTTTTAACTGTAATCTAAATGTTCCAATAGCCTCCACTGTGACCTTGTTGCCATCACCCACGTATATAAATCTTTCATTATCACTTGGCAGTCGGCTCCAAAGGCAACCCTGCATGGATACACTAATGTGAGTAGTAGCACTAGAATTTACCCACAAGTATCATGTGGTACAAAAACTAAATTAACTTTAGAACAAATAAAAGAGAGAAATTACCTTTCTTTACACACTAGGAGTCGTACTTGGGATACTCTTTCTTCATGTGCCTGGGTTGAGAAGTCCTTTTGCAACATCCTTATTATTCTTTCTCTTCCTATTTTGAGAGCTTGACGCCAAATGAGCACTTTCAGTCTTTTCTCTTTGTTTCCTTTCCTCCTCTTGCACATAGTGAGAAATCAGTTCATTCAAGGTCCATTTATCTTTCTGAGTATTATAACTCACCTTGAACTGCCCAAAGTGTGTATGAAGGGAAATTAAAACTAGGTGCACGAGCAAGTCATCAGACAACTCTAACTTTAGTTCTTTTAGTTTTGACGCGAGATTAGACATTTCCATAATGTACTCCCTTATATTTCCTTTACCTTTGTGTCTCATATAGATAAGTTTAGCATGCAAATTGCTTGCATCAGCTTTTTCATTACTGGTGAAATACTGCTCAACAACATCAAGGAAATCTTTAGTGTTGTGGCTCTTAGAAATAGAGCACCAAAATACTTCTAGAACAGATCGCTTCATGATCATCAAACACATTCGGTTTGAGTGTTCCCACTTTCCAACCTTATCTTCATCTGGGTTTTTCACAATTGGAGTGGATTTCTCAGTCCGAAGTACAAGATCAAGATCCATGCAACCAATAATTATCTCAACTGCTTCCTTTCAGGCCTTAAAGTTTGTCCCATTAAGCATGGGGATACAATTAATTTGAGCAAACAAATTAACAACACTAGCAACAACAACTGTAATAGAACATAAATACAAATTTTTTTAATTACATGCTCACAAAGTAAAATAAAAGTAAAAAAATAAAATAAAATATGCAGATTATTTACATAATAGACCATTACAAGATACCGAGTACAATATTAATTCTTTGTCTTTGGACATACAAATTAATTTGTTAGTGGTATTATCAATGCAACGATCAAATATTGACAATTAATTCTGTCAAATAATAGTCTTTTTTTGGACTGACTATTATTCACATGATTGTAACTTTATAATTGTTACATATTTATCTTCACAAGCATGTTATTATTTGGCCAAATTGTGTCTTTCTTTGGAATGAGAACAAATTGCACAAATAATCTCGTACTAACATCTATTGAAATTTTGATTAAATTAATTTCTATAACAGGGATTGATTTGGCAATATATTACATCAATTAATTTTATTAAAAAATTACTAGACAAATTAATAAATAAAGAATGCCTATATTCTGTCAAAAACCGTACTCAAATTTGATATAATTTTTTTTTGGAGTTTGAACATGAATACATAAACATGCAACATCTACGAATTTCAAAATTATCAATTCAAATTTGAGCAAAATATCAATGACCGAGAGATATAAGAATCAAAATAAAAAAATGCAATAATTAAATTAATCCCTTTAATTGATCCCATTAATCCATACAATCAATTCAGCCAAATTAAAAATATATATGAATCTAATAATGTAAACAAAGCATAAATCAAATATTGATTCATTCAATTTCTATCACAAAAAAATAATAATACGCTTTAAAATCTCATAACCTAACGACAATGACAGCTCTGATACCACTTCTTGGGATAAATTTCTTAAGTCAAATAGAGAATTTTCATCAATCAATATTAAAGACCGTTGTCTCAGGTTACATAGTTAAGGTTAGTAAAACATACCTATAACCATTGACATTGATCGGAAGTTGCAGCGAAATAGCTTTTGGTGCAATGATCTTTCTCAGCTAAATCACTATATTCCTCAACGGGACCTGAAGTTCCTCTTCTGATAGGGAGACAAAGAGATGCGTGTTTCTGATTTGGTATATTGGGGACCATGACCATCTTTACGATTTTAAACCTGTTAAGATTCTCATTAACTCCTAGCAGATCAAATCTGATTTTCACTTATTTAGGCTATATTAATTTTTCCTATTAGTAGTCTAAAGGCTGATCACTAAAATTAAATCACTTTTATTAAGTCTAACTAAATATAAATAACTAATATAAATACTACAAATAATATATATAATCTACATTAATTAATAGAAATAAAATTTCTAACAGTATTCTCTAACAAGAAAAATATTTCTCGATCTACTGTATCTTTGAAAGTAGGGATGGCAATAGGGCCCCATGGTGGTAGGTAATAGTAAACCCGTTCCCACCCCGCTGAATGAAAATTGACCTCATATCCACCCCATACCCATGCAGGTTGTGAGACCCCCGCAACCCCTACTTCCTTTTTCTCTCCTTCCTCACTTATTTTCTCATATTCACTCACTTTGCCTTGAATTCCTGGTGCTTTTGGTGGTTGTGGTGATCTAGGTGCTGATTGAGGTGTTGGAAGCTAATGAAGTCTTCTTCTCCGTCTCGATTCTCCTCTCTTTCTTCTTCTCTTTTATTCCTCCGTTGAGTTTGTCTCCTTCCCGGAAGCTCGGATCTTCGAACTGAGGTAAGGGAAGCTAGTTCTTGCAGATTTTGGTTGAGAATGAGTCTCTGAAACTCATTAACTGGTTGCTGATGAATGATTCTTGGTTGAAGTTTGCTGAAATGGAGTTTTTGGGGTTGTTGGGTTATGAGAGAAATTTGGGGTTTTTCTTGTTCTGTTGTTGCATGTGTAAAAAGCTGGTGTTTTTGGACTCTTGGATGAAAATGTGGCACTTTGAACCGTTTTCATGCTGGATTTCTGATTGTTCTGCAGGGTTGGGTGAAATTTTCGAACTTGCTGGTGTTGCTGCTGAGCTTCGCGCTGAGCGCAGTTCTTCGCGTCGGGCGCGTGGCTACCAGGGGACTCCATTTAGGTAAGCCGTCGGGCACAATGATGGGTGCGCCAGGCGCGCTTGGGAATGTGGGTCTCTGGCTAGTCCGCGCTGGGCGCAATATCAGTTGTACCCTGATTTGGGCTTTTTGTTTCTGTACTGAGCGCGACAAGGGTCGCGCTGGGCGTGAGACTCCTTGGGAGTCTCTGCCTTGAGGGCGCTGGGCGCAATTTAAATTGCGCTGGGCACGAGACCAAGGGAGGTCTCTGCCTTCTCCGCGCTGGGCATGGGTTTGGGCACGTTGGGCACGTGAGACTCCATGGAGTCTCTGCCTGGCATGCGCTGGGCGCAATTGGAATTGCACCAGGCGCGAGTGAGCCTTGGGCTCTCTGGCTGGGTCCTGCCAGGCGCGGGCATGCTTGCGCTGGGCGCGTTGGCCCCCTGGTGCTCTCTAGTTGGACTGCGCTGGGCGCAACCACGAGTGCGCCGGGCGCAGAGATGATAATTCACTATATGCTGTCTAATGTTGTTTTATGCGGAGCTAAGTAGAAGTTGATGAACATGAAGTGATGACTAGTAGATAATGTTGTTTGATGATGTTGAGTTGTATCAGATGAATATTGTTGTAAGATGTCTTGATGTGCTGTAAGATGATATGTTGTGCTGTAAAGTTGTGCTGTGTTGTATGATGATATGAGCTGTTGTAGGCCATAATGGTTGAGTTGTTGTAGGCCATAATGGCTGAGTTGTTGTAGGCCATAATGGCTGAGTTGTTGTAGGCCATAATGGTTGAGTTGTTGTAGGAGATCTCCGAGATGATATGCGTGACGACGCATTATTTTCCATTTGCTGGTTTGTTGTACAATCGATGAGATGTAGGCTGACAATGTGTTGATAGTTGTAGTTGTTCATATTACTTAAATCTTGCTATATGTTGTTCTTTTATACTAGCTTACCCTTTGTTGTTTCCATGTGATTGGACTGCGATGATCATACTATGTATGGGAGCAGAGCAGGGATAGGTGTGTGGCTAGTGGTGAGTCTGCAGCTGGCAGGCGGAGCTGATCCTAGTAGATGTTTTGTTGTTCAGCTACTTGGTGTAGTAGCTTGGTTGTATTGTTGTACATTTTGAATCTAGTCAGACTTGGACCACGTATATATGTATATTCTAGACACTATATGTATGCACTTGTTCCTTTCTGTCCGGTTTTCAGGTGTACTGTGTTGTGTGTAGTGACCAGCCGGGTCGTTACACAGGTATCCGTTAAGCGGGTATCCATGAATTTCTTGAATATTCGTGGATATCCATGGATATTTATAAATTTTTTAAGAAATTAAAAAAATTATATTACAAATAATTTTAAGTTTAGATTTAATGTTATTGAAATATTAAAAATAAAAATTTAATGTTAATTTTGAACTTGTAATTAATGTTAATCTTATTGAAATAATAATAAAAAAGCAAAATAATCAATAACTTAAAATACATCAATCTCACAAGTGAAAGTCTCATATCACAAAGTTACAATAATTTAATTTCATAATGTGTGATGACTAATGCGTGAGTTGTGCGACTATGGAAGTAGTTTTAGGGTGATGTGGTACAAGGATAATTAGAATATTTAATAAATATTATTAAACGGGTACCCGCGGGTATGAATATCATCATACCCGCCCTTATCATATTTATAAACGAATAAAAAATTATTGTCCCCATTATTTGCAAGTACCTAATTAGCCTACCCATTTATTATCTGTAACAAATTTTAACAAGTATTTTTAGCATCCGTAATTGAAAGCATGTCATGAAAAAGTTTGTGTGACGCTTGTTATTGGTTCAACTCCATTGAATAATGGCAAGGCTAGTTTATCTCCATGCATGATGTCATCTCCTAATTATTTTTTTTTTATTGTTCCTTTTATTCTTTTGTTACTTCTTCAACAAGTTCGTCCTAGAATTCATTTGGTAGTGGCAATGATATAAGCTGTGGCTGATATTATCTTTTAATTAGAATTATGAATGTTCGAATTTTCACCTTAAAATTTGTGTTAAAAAAATATTTATCTTATACATGTTAATAATTTCTAAGAGAGATTAATTATTATTTTGAATGATAAATATTTTATATTAATTATATATTAAAGAAAAAAAATCTAGTATGTATCAACTTCTAATAACAAGATATTATTAGTTGTAGTGTTTTTTTTAATTCTATTCTATCATTATTTTTAAAAGCATGAATCAATAATAGTTGACATAATTGATAATATTTTATGTTTTTTTAACTAAGATATTCACTATTCAAACCTTAACTTTAGGTATAAAATAGATATTATTGAAGAAAAAATATTTGTTTTATATATTCATGATGTCTAACAAAAATTAATCATTATATTTAATAATAGATATAAAAAAAAAAATCAAACATGCAAATGATTTTGTACGTGGTGGACTCTCCTTATGAGACTGCTGCTCGGCCAACAACACACTGACCACTTATTTATGTTGTAGAAAAATATAATTGACTTATCATCAACAAAATTATCTTTGAAAAAAGAAAAACAAAATTTTATGAAAATTGTATATTAGTGATATTTAATCGAAGAGTGTAGATAATTTGTAAAATAATTGAAAGAATGGTCTGTATAAATAATTTAAGAAATAATTAGGTGGATAATTTATTATATATTTTTTCTTTTAATTTTTCAAAATTTCCATTAATGTACAGTATATGTTATGAAAAAAATAATAAAAAAGAAGAAGTCATGTATAAGTTTATTTTTGGTGTTGAGTATCTTGACCGCCACATATTTTCCTTTGAATAGAATTTTCAACAGCTGTACTGAAGTGACATAATTCCTCCTACTAGAAATTTCTTCTC